ATATATATATACCATAGTCTGTGGATTGTATAACTTTCACACATTGTAATTAATATACACTTATTTGGGGGGGGGTTACCAAAGAAATGTAGCAGAATACATTTTGGCTTAAATTTATGAAGAAAGATTATTTATGTGCAATGCTTCATAGCTTAACATAGGGAAAACAGGTTATTTTTCTAAATTTTCGGTAATTTTTCCTTAATATAGTGAAAAATAAAAAACCCAGTGGTGATTAAATACCACCAAAAGAAAACTCTATCTGTCCCAAAACAATAATATACAATTAATTTTGGTTTGGTGTTGCATGGCTGAATAATTGTCAGTCAAGTCATCAAGTGGTTAAACAGTGCCCAGTTCTCCAAAGCCACATTTATTTATGTTTTAAAATAAAGTCTTACTACAGTATTTTAATACCTTTAGAAGGTCTGCTGTGCTCGCTCCCATTGCTCTTCTCTCCATTTACACTTCCTGTCACTTAGTAAGATCCGAGCATGTTGATTCTGGTCATGTGCACATCTTTCTTTGCCTACAACTCCCATGAGGCACAGAGGAATCATCTCTCACTGCACACAGCTGCCTCCTCCCCCTCCATCTACTCACTAAACACACTGTGACAGTTTCATTGCTTGTAATCTCCTCTGCAATGCTTTAAATGATCAAACTGACTTACAACAAATCTACAACAAACATCAAAGTTACATCAATCTACACAGAAAAACAACTTTATTTCAAATTTAGGAGTTATATTCTCTATGACTGTGTGACCAGATTCAGCATGTGAGCTGAGACATGGAAGAAAGTATGAGGCTGGTGACAGATAACATGTTGAATCTCGTCAGAAAGTTTGTGAAAAAGACAATGATCACAAGCAGCTCCCCACACTCCCTTCTTGGTAAGCCAGGAAGAGGGAAATCAAAAAACACATATTAGTGTTAGAGAGAAACATAGCCTCCTAGAGGGGAGGATTTGCGGGCGGAGACTGAGAATACACACCCTCAGCATGCTGTAGTCCAGGGGCGCCCACTATTTTTCATCTGGAGATCTACTTTTCAAATGACGAGCTCATTGAGATCTACCAACGAAAAAACACCTGCATTCAGGGGCGGGAGGGGGCGTGGGCTGCGCAGGCAGGCCCGTCGCCCACAGTGCGATCGCCTGCATTAGTGCCTGTGTTCCAGTCCAGTGCGATCCGCAAAAATGCTGATGTAGTCCTTCACATGAACAAGCAAAGAGTGTTTCTACTTTTCAGCTCCCATAGAGACCATGGAGAAGAAAGTAGCCACCCTCTGGCAGGAAGTTGTGGATGGAGAAAAATAAAACGGATTTTGGAGCATTTAGAGCTGAACAATGACAAAACAAGGTACACTGTAATTTATTATTAATATAACAGAAGTTATTTTTTTATTATTTAATTTCTGAGTTAAGTGTTGCTTTAAGGTCATTGGAAAAACAGGGCAGTGGCATATCAGAAAATCTGATTCTGAATCTGATATTTTTATTCTTCTGACCCACATTTCAAATAAACATTTAGAAATGTACATGAATCATACAGTAGTACGATAATCCAGCATTTACCTTGTCAATGTTTTGCAGTCTGCCCTTGTTTGACTCAATTTCAGCTTTAAAAGCTTGGTGTTTTAGCCACTTGCTGTGCAAATTACGAGCTGCTTCATAGGATGTATCTTGAGCGGTCAACATTTTTTCATTGATCCATATTGTTAGCTGTAAAAACATTATTAACAGATAATTCAAATTTTGTAGACACAATTGTTAAGTAGCCACGTGGCTTTCCACATAGTTGTCTTCTATCTAGATGATATTTAAGAACAACATAATTAAACCACTGTGCCTCTATACTTAAAGTGACACAAAATTCAGGATTTAAATCTTACAAATGCATTCAAGTACCCTAAGTATTTAAAAAAAAACAGGACCTTATTTGTGTATCACTCAGCTGTAGATCCTCAAATCATCTCTGAATTCATGCTGACACTGCCCTTCCTTCTGGAGGGTGGTTATTTTTGTTCCCCATGGTCCCTGTGTGTGTTGTAAAGTAGCCACTGCTCCAAGCTCACTCCTGTGATAGCCTACAATCTCAAATTTAGTTTTCTAATTTGCATTGAGATTGTAGTCCATCACAGTGAGCTTGGAGTGGTGGCTATTATATAACACACACAGGGATCATAGGAAACGAAAGTAGCCACCCTCCAGAAGGAAGGACAGTGTCAGCACAAGCTCAAAGATGGTTTGAGGATCTACATCTGAGTGATACACAAATAAGCTACATTTTTGTTTATAGCTAGGATACTTGAATGCATTTTTAAGATGTAATTCCTGAGTTTAGTGTCACTTTATTTTAAACACATATTTTGAATTACCAAAGAGAACAAGACACCACACCCCTAAATTCATAGATTCAAAAAACAAACGTACATTAAGTACGGGGCTTTTAAGGTGTCATACCAGAAACACAATAATCACAATTCTATTAATATCATCTTACAAATGTATTGTTTAAAATGGTAACATAGCATAATATTGACATTTAAAAAAACATATAGGTCCAAACGCTGATGTACAAATAAATCCCAGATAGCGACTTCTAGCATAAAAATAATTTCTCCTACCAAAGCGCAATACCTCCCTGGACCACATATACACATATGCCTCCCACACACCATCCAGGGGATATGTAGAATGAGGGGCGAAATAGAAACGGCAGGATATATAGGACTGGTATTCTTCCATACTATATATGCCTAAATATAAAAAATATATATACTGCATGTTGAAACTATACTTGTTAATAGAGCGATATCCCATAACGTATATAAATATATTTAAATTGCTTGCAATAATAGGTTCCTAAACTTATAAACCATTTTCAACTGTATATACTGTACTAGACACAGTCTCATATATATATATATATACATGTAGGTCTAGATAAATACCCATCTTAGATCCAGTGTAATAATATCTGAAATATACATCTTTACTCTACTTAAATAATCTAACAATCGCTCATTATCTTGTTTCATGAGTCTAAAAATACTAAAAGGTGGCGTACTACAGTAAACGGGCATAGTAAAGGTTGTATGTATCTTACCCAATATTGATAGGTACTTCCTATCCTCTTCTACGTTCAGCCTCAACCTCCTATTTAGAAGCGCCACTCTCTCTGGGCGCATGTGCACATCATAGGCCCGCCCCAACCGCAATCGTCACACACCGGTAGCTCAGACGGTGTGTTATGCCGCGGCGGGGGATTGAATTGAGGAGCGGATGAGACGGTAAAAAAGGAAATTAAGCCTTAAAAAAGAAAACCAATGCAGTCACCACAGCAAATACCTGTGATTGTGGCAACACTGAAATGTAAATTTGGTTATGTATACATATTGCAGATCTCCATCAGGGTAATAGCTTGCTAAGATGCACTTTCTCACATGACTGTTTATCATTTGCTCATGATATAAGAGGAGTTAGGGGGTGCCAATGGAAAATGCATGCTTATAAAATACACAGGCATTTCTGTGCATCTGGCAGTTATAAGAAACTTCGTCAGAATTTGGATTTTTCATCATTGCTCTGTTCCCTTCTGAACTCTTAAGCCTGACTTTGTGTTTCTTCCGGTGATATATATAAAAAAAAAACATATTTATTGACTCTACCTCATTACAGTTTTCCAAGAAATCCTGAAGATCAACATGATCCTTTAGCAGAGCTGACACTTCTTTAGCATTATTCACATTCACTGCATATCTGAAAACAATATTGGATCAATTAATCATTTAAGCAATCAATCAATAGAATCAGGTCTTTAGGAAATCAATATGTTTAATGTGTGAAATCTACAGTAACTCAAAGCAGAGCTGTTGACCATAGATTACCTGATGGGTATTCCCACCAGTGGGGACACAGACCTTAAAGTACAACTAAAGGTTCTGTAACGCTTCCTGTGAGCACGATGGCGAGTGTTGGATCTCAGCTGCGGAGGTAAGTGGAAATGGTTCAGTAGGGAGGTTCGCAGTAACACTTTAAGTCAGTGAGTGCAGTCGGAACCCCTTACACATCATACACCATTTATCCTGGGAGCATTGAGTTGTAATCTTGTTGTATAATCACGCTCCCAATTATATAGCATTGGGGCCGTGTTGTGAATTGTAGTTCGATTCCTTAGTTGCTTCACTAAGGATCGAACTAATCCATCTCATATGGTTTGAGGAATTACCGTCCAGGGTATATAGTGCAACAGTGTTTGAAGAGAGAGCCAGTTAACGTCACTAAGCCCACTATGAGTACATGCAGGTGACAACAACTATGGATAAGCAGCAATAATGGAGTAGATAGCAGAAGAGCAGAGAGGATGTAATATGAGACTTCCCCACAAGGTGGCAGTACCAACACTTCCCCTGTATATAGAATGGCAGTGATATACTTGCTGTTTGGTGAGAGTCCAGTCAGGGGAAGTGTATGTTCCTTGGTGCTGGGGGTATCTGCAGGCTGGATCGATGAACTGTAGTTCCAGAGGCTGGTCACAGGGTCTCTGCTCACGACGGGGTTCCTAATAGCTTGCTCGACGTACTATTTTGCTAGAACGTCGAGCAAGTGTTCAGCCTCAGTTTAAGTAGGCAGAGGCAATTGTTGGGGCGGAGCCGGAGACGAGACCCGACCCGAGCGTCTCCTAACAACGGGACGCCGCCGGGCCTCGTCCGTCGCGTCACACTGCCTGTGAGAAGGAGAGGAGGAGCGCTGCGGAACGGCCGCCCGTCGCCTAGCAACTGGACGCCGATGACGGGGCCGTCCCCGAGCTGGCCTCAGAGTCCGGCACAGCCTGCGTTCCTGACAGGTTCCTGCATGACGGTCTAAACAAGTACCAAGTCTTTATGCGCAAACCTCATAAAGTAAATAAACAACTTCCTTTACCTTCTCTGACTGAGCCAAATTCTCCTTCATCAATGTCTCACACACTCCCCCTCCAGACACCCCAGCTCACAGTGGGAGGATTTTAGCAACAGAGGCAGTTCTGCCAATCCAGAAAGCAGTGGGCAGGACTGGGTGTAGCCAGATGCTGACTGACAAGCTACAGGCTTGTAAATCCGCAGTGACAATGCAAAATTTTTCACCCCAATGTATTGCAATCAGGCATGGCCTACATGAGAGTGGCATTAGTTGGACTTCACTGATAGGCTTGACGGTATTTGAGGGACTTTGCAGGGGGGCTATGAGAAAACTGTATGTTATGATGCACTTTTAATTAGGTGCTGCAGCAGGGCTGTAGCTGCCATGAGGCGAGTGAGGCCCCCTCGCCCCTGTTGCCATGGCAAACACAAGGCACCATGGCAACAAGGGCGCAAGGCGGCCAACACAGCCGCAGATCGGCAGGGAGAAGAGGGGTGGCACAGGCTCCAGCTTCTCCTCGGATCCCCGCTGCTTTTCCCCACCTGTATGGGCAGAGGCAGTGGGGATCCAATGAGAAATGGAGAGCCGCAGCCGAGGGGGGTTGGATTTGGGAACTGTCATCCAGGATGGCCGAGCGGTGAGGAGAGAGCGAGCTGCTCGGCCAGGGTCTGAAAGCTGGTGGCTCTTTCTCTCCTCACCACTCGGTCATCCTGAAGTGACAGCGCTCCCTCCTCCACCCCCCACCCCGCTGGCTTCAGCGCTCCCTC